AAGCTCGATTTCGCGGAGTAGGTCGCCATAGCAGTAGACTGGTGAATCACAAGGCGCAATCACGCTCCCGTTAATGTACAAGCCGGTCGCCAATGGCACGCTCGCGAAAAGGGCGACGATGTGGGCACGCATTGAGACCATGGGAAGCAGCAAGAAAGGTGCGAGAGGACGGCACATGCGTAAACAAGGTACTTGCAGGAGGTATTTAACCCATGGCCTGGAGGGACAAGCCAAAGGTCCACATCAAGCCCGTGCGTACACTCAGCACACAGCACACGTACGTGGCTGGGGGTGTTGGGGGCATCGTCATCCTTGGCGATCCGTGAAAGGGAAAGGAAACATTGGGGTTGCGCGACCTTGTGGCCTTGTCCCGCGCTGATGGCTGCGGCTTGGCCAGACGAATGCGGAGCAAAATGTCAGTCGTCAACTACTCTTAGGTAGTCAACCCCGCAAGATGGCGTTGCGGCTGTCAACCGTGATGTCATGGCTGTCACCTCCACCAACTGACGGCACAACCCATGTGGCTTTACGCGAGTCTCCCCCCCCGATCACGCTTCTGCCATCGGGACCATCGGATGATGTCAAGACTGGCATACCGGTACGCCAACTTAGCTGGATGCTATTCAAGTGGTGCAGGCGATCCAGTCTACTGTGGACATGCCCCCGATGTGATGAGGATGCCCCGAGCTACGCTGTCTCGCGCGCTTTTGAGCATTGGGTACGGTACGGTAGGTACCGGTACCGGTACTTTGAACATCACTTCCCGTGTGAGGAGTTGGTGGAAGGCAGTATGTACTTATAGGAACAACCTCTTCGTTTTCATTCTATCCCGATCTTCCGGCCATTTCAACTTCACCAGCCTTGCTTTGCAGAAATCAAATGCGAAGTACTAGGCGGCATGAAGTAAATAGGTATGGTAGGCAGTAGTGTGAGCAAAAACATGTGTAGTGAGCACGCCATGTCATGGTGAGCGAAGAGTCATAGCACATCTATATTGAGAGACACCATGTTTGTTGAGCAGAGGATTTTGAAACCTAAATGCCCACACCTTTGAGGCGCTGCGAGATTGCATGTATAACGTGATCCACCACCAAGCGCCCACCCCCACCAAGCGCCCACCAACAATTATAGGATACTCCTAACCACACCTTATTAGAATAGAAGCTTCTATCTAACTACAACTCCTATTAGGACGTCTTTAATAAAGCTAAGGCTAACAAACTTCTAATCTATTAGCCTTATAACCACAAGATTGTCCTAAAGGAACACCTTCTAACTACTAGAGTCCCCTCTATTATTAAAATACTAAGGAGCTCTAGGCTACTAAGGAATATATACAAGAGCACCTATAGAAAGGGTTTATTAAGACTAGTTAGTGTAATAATAAGGTAGAATTGCTTGCCTATTATTCTATGCTAAGTTAGGCCTAATAAAGGCCTAACTTACTAATATATATAGAGAGTAGCTCGCCTATATTAGGATAGGCATGTTCTTCTAATCCTTTTATACAAGACCTATAGGTAGAGGAATCTTATCCTTTTCTATATAGACGCGTACTCCTATATACCTTTAAGTTATATAGTATACCTTTTAGTTACCCTACCTACCTATATTATTATATTATAAGAAGAATATTATCCTAGCTAGTAAAAGTATTTAAGAATATTATATTTATTATTATTTTATACTACTAATTAAGTTTAAGTAGTAGTCTAACCCTATAACTCTATAGTTAGAATAGCTATTAGAACTTCTAATAACTAAAGCCTATAGGCTTAGACTTCTAGACTACTAGGTAGTGCTAGATTACCTTTAGAAAAATTATATTAGATTATATTAAGGTATAGACTTAGAGACTACTAAAAGCCTAGAGGAATTAGAGGCAAAGCTAATATCCTTTTATAACTAACCCCCCTAAAGAAAAGATTTATTATTCTTATTAACTACTAAGATATTAGACAAAGGCAAAGGAAGAGTATCTAGTTTAGCTACTTTTAAAAGCCTATTTACTAATAGAAAGAAATTAGATAAGGAAGACTTAATTAATAACGCCCTCTATTATAGACTAGCCTTAAGGGAGAATGCAATAAGCGTTAATAATAGTATTTAGTATCTTAAAGGAGAGGTAAGCCCTTTACGCCTTTTTATAGATGTGTAGACTTAGTCTATCTTATATTAGGCCTAGGCTTAGGCATAAGCCTAAGCCCTTTATATACCCCTAACCTTCCCTATAAACTATTATAAAATTGTCTTTCTAGGGTTCTAAGGTTATATCTTTATCCTCTATAATCTATATTAGGCATTATATCTTTATATTCTTTCCTAATTTATAATAGGCCTATATATTAAGTAGTACACGCGTGTAGCATCTATACACTTATTTTAGCACCCTACTATAAAAGTTCTAATATAGCTATGCTACCCTACTATTAATTTCCTAAACTTACTTTGTTATATAGCTAATTTTCCCTACTAATTACCTTCTTATTACTCTTTTTACTATCTATCTAGCTTATATAGCTCCTATTATATTCTTGTCTACTACTACTAGTACTAGTAGTAGGGAACTACTATAAGGTAGTTAGACCCTGCGTTAGGCCTACTAAGATAATATGCGTACTCCTAATATTCTCCTAATATTTCCTGGACTAACTTTGCTTAGTATACCCCTCCCTAAACCTAGTTACTTAGTAGCTTTATTATTTCTAGTAACTTAGATAATAAGGAATATAATAGTAGCTTTATAAAGCTGCTTCCCTATAACTAGTATATTAACTAGCTTTATCTCTTTAGTAAGTATAACTATTAGGAGGGTAGTAGTAAGTTATCCTTAATTTTAATATCCTTTATATTAACTCCTAACTATATCTAGGGCGTTTATAGAAGTCCTACTATTATAGGCACAAGACTTATACTTAGTTAGAAGCTATCCTTACTAATAATCCTAATATTTACCACGCCCTCTATAACTAGCTCTAGTTTTATTATAGTTACTAGGAGAATTACCTCTATATTATAAAGAAAGGAACCCTTAGTACTTTTATAGGGAAACCTACTAAAGGTACTTACTACTAGTTTATACTATAGTTCTACTAGCTCTACTATTATTTTAAAGATCTTTTATTAAGGGCTTAAACTATTAATACTATTACTCTACTTACTCCTACTACCTACTTGCGCGCCTATAATTAGTATTAGCTTAGTGCTATTATTCTATCTACTACTAGTACTCTAGTATTCCTACTTTAGTTTACTATTACACCTTTATATAGGAGTTATAGTAATAATAATATTATATAGCTAGCTACTAATACTAGTATTACCTTCTAGCGTATTAACTAGTATATAAATAAGACCTAGGCCTAAACTAACCTTTATATTAATAAACTTAAGAGCGCTACTAAGCGCACTACCTGTAGAAGTTAAGACTCTTATTATTAGTATTAGTTTTCCTCTTATTTTCCTTATATTTATTCTAATATTGTTTTCTTAAGGCCTAGGGTGCTGCGCGTTAGCAGACTATTAAAGCACTACCCTTATCCTACTGCCACTACTACTACTAATTGTACTCGTTAACTAAGTCTTCCTTAAACCTATCTAGAGCCTTAATATCCTATACTACCTCTAGTAGGTGCTATATTAGATTAATATACCCCTTCTATTTTACTAGGATTTAACACTTTCCTTTTCCTCTTATATTCTTTATATAAAGGATCTCTTCTACTTCCTATTTATCTAGTATTATATCTTTATTTTCTAGAGTAACTATTAGACCTAGTTATAAGTCCTAAAGCTTCTAGCTTAGTAGCAGGTTATTAGTAGCTCTCTTTAGTAGATCCATATACATAGTCTTATATAAGTTCCCTAGTAAGTCTAATACTACTATTAGTAGAGTAGGGCCTTCTATTACTTTATACTTTACTTATAGCTAGTTAAATATTTTACTTAGTTAGTTTATCTTTATATTACGTATTATACACTAAACTATATTACCCTTTAGGAACTTTTTAGCTAGGTATTAGGACTAGTTTATTACCTCCTATTATTATTACTATTAGAATATAATAGTAGCTTATACTAGTTCTACACCCCTTTATAGGTGTAACAAGAACGCTATAGCCTCCCTATAAGGATTCTTAGGCTTTACTAGTAGTAATATTATCTTTTATAGTGTGTTTATAGTTTACCTATTTAAAAGTAGATTAGGGCTAACACTAGTTATACTAGAGTCCCTATTATTAAGTGTAAGTTAGCAGGCTAGTAGGTAGTTAGGCTAGTTAGTCTACTTAAAGCATACTATTATACGCAGCACTACCTATACTTCTTAGTTTACCTACTTTATCCTGCTATCTATCTAGGGGTGGTATATAGTAGATAGTAACTAGTTTATCTTTATTATCTAGTATAATATTATCTAGAAAGATCCTAACTAGTTAGAGCCTTAGTTAGTAATAATAGAGGATAGGAAGCCCTAGAACTACTACTAGTTGTCCTAGAAGATCCTTATATAATAATTAGCTACTATAGAGACTATTTCTTTAAGCTAAATATATTTAGATAATCTATTAGTAATAACTAATAGGAACTAAGGTTTACTATTATCTTTTATAGGTAGGTTAACTATAAAATCTATACATATTTAGGACTAGTATTATAATATAACTAGTATAGGTTATAATAGACCCTATTAGCGCTTCTAGGAGATATAAGTACTATAATAATAGTAGTTTAAAATTTACTACGCAATATCTCCTAATATTCTATCCTAATAATAGTTACAGCGTAGTATTTAAAATATTGTATTCTTTCCTAGATATCCTACTAAACCTAATTTATATGCTTGCTATATAATAGTAGTTATAAGGGGTTCCTATATTAGTAACTAAATAACACCCCTCTAAAGCAAAGTACTATATACGCTAATTGCATAGTCCCTAATCTATTACTTTATACTAGCTAAAACTAGGAAAGACCTAGCGCCTTTCTAAACTATATTAAGACACACTTAGTATATCTTATCTTCTAGTACTACTTTATCCTATAGTGTCTATATATATAGGTTAGTAAAGAGGCTAGCGCCCTTTAGTAACTTAGACGCCTCCTCTACTTCTAATACTATAACCTAAATTAATTTAGGGCGTATTACTAACTATAGTGTTACTTTAGAGGAGTTTAAATATTATAGTTACCTGCTTAAGGTATTAGGTTATCCTGCAAGATAGCTAGGTCTATACTATAGGATATACTAATATTTTAAAAGTTCCTCTACCTAGTAGCACTATTACTTGCTTAAGCTTTAAAGGCTAGTAAAGTACTCTAGGTTTTTATAGTCTATAAATATTATAAATAGCTTATAAACACTCTATAACTCTACTAACTAACTTTTAAGATACTTAATAATAGCTAGCAATTCCTTATTGTGTATAGTGTAGTTTTGTCTCTCTAGCGTTAGTACTATAGAGAAGTAAGTAACTAGGCGCTAGATGCCCCTAACCTTTTATAATAAGTAACCCCTAAGAGTGTATCTTAAATAGTCTACTTCTAATAATATTTCTTTAGCTAGGTTCTATTATATTAGTACTAGTCTAGATATAAATACCTTTTTTAGTGTATTAAATATATTTTATTCTTCCTCTCCCTATTAGAATAGTCTATTCTTCCTAGTTAGTTAATTTAAATACGCTACTACTTTAGAAAACTTTGTAATAAAATTATAGTAGAAGTTAGTAAAACCTAGAAAACTCCTTACCTCTCTTATATTCCTAGGGGATTCCTATTCCTATACTACCCTAAGCTTTTTAGGGTTAGGTCTAAGTAATTTGCCTGCCTTAATAATATAGCCTAGGTAGTGTACCTTCTTAATACTAAAAGTATATTTCTCTAAGTCTAGGTA